ACACACATTCCTACACAAATCAGTGCAATGGTCACACAAGAGGTCACACTGCAAAAACCCTCTAATAGAAAACTATTAGGTACACACAAAGAAAGGACACAAACACAGGAAAATAAAAATTGCCAAAACTGCATTAAGATAACAAAACAAGGAAGCCAGATAACTAAGACTTTGATTTACTATACAATGAAACCAGAAGAGTGCCAAGATAGCTCACCTAACACCTGTGCATACAATAGAACTATATATAAAGTTTGTAGAAAAGGAGCCCAAGATCAGTGTTATAACCCAAAGCCTGATCCTGACAGTTGGGCCTTACAAATCTGAACACATAGAACAAGAACCAGCTCAAAAGACCAGGCACTATTAGGGATTTCTCAATGGAAATCCAACCCACACTCCAGTTTTAGCGTCACCTTTGATGTTTGTAAAGCAGCTAATTATTGGGCCGTAATGTATGGTTGCAGAGGGATCAATCGAATCCACAACTATATCCCAAACCATAAGTATTTGTGCCCACCAGATGGGTGTGCAGTCTCCACAGTCAAATGTAAGAGGTGGTCATGTATTAAGTGGCATACCCAAGACCCTAAGGAGATGGAGCACATCTTGTTTGAAAAGAAAAATACAACAGCAGACTCATGTGGAAGGGATAACTGTAATTTGGTGACCCTCACAGTCAAAAATGGCAGTTGGTTCCTGGAACAAAATAGATGGGAAAAACGAAACTGGTTGTTTGGGAAAGATCCTGACTTGGAGGACGAATAGTGGAAGTTTAAGCCAGAAAACTTCCAAAGGGGGGAATAATGTAGTAAAATGAACAATTATTAGAATAATGATTTGTCTGCATACCTGCAATAATGATGTGTCTGCATAATTGCTAGAATAATGAGATAATGCATAATCACTGGGAAAATTCACTGGGAAAGTTCTGTGTCAGTAATATGTGGCAACCAAATGCGCTTTGCACATGGATACTTTGTATGTAGCAAAACCTTCCATTGTATGCCTGTGAGAAAC